GTGAACCATCAGACAGATCTTCCTCTCTATCTCTTCTCTGTTTATTCATCTTTCCAATAAAAATAAATGAATCTTAAAAAAAAAAACAACAACAGAATCATGCACACTGCTCTGGAAGGCCAGCTTAGTGAGCTTCCGCAGTAGCTCAGAGAGACAAGCAAAGGAGCAAGAGTCTCTCAGGGCAGCACCCCCTTTCCTCAGGTCCTGGGAATAACTGTGCTTCTTCACGTTTGTGAGAGGTGAGAATTTATTAAATATGTGTGTGTGTTATAAGTGAGGTAGGGCGTCCTTGCATTTATGCTAAATATACTTCATTCATATTTCCCAAGAGTCACTTTGTCCTGGAATTTTCTTGAGAAACACATCCTCACATTGCTTGATTTTAAGGAACTCAGTCTTACGGCCTTCGGGCCCTACGTTCTGGCTAATGTTAGAGACTATACTTCAGCTATTCTAAAGTGGAATTTTTCCTATAGCTTTGGATGTTGTGACAAAGAGGGTGCTGGGAACATGGAGCTGTGTGGCAGTTGAAGATTCTCTGTAGTCATGTTATTTTTGTGTAGAGTGAAGTTATAGAGGCTGTTCTTTATCAAAGAGGGCCTGTATGAATTCTTTCATAAATCCACTTAAACCCTTGCTTACAGATGCAAGAAAATTAGATCCCCTGTCTTAAATAAGCTGGCTGTATATCGAAACTGTTTAGCTTACAGTTGTATTCTTTCCTCTTAATGAATCTAAACTTAGATTAGAATAGCAATGATACCTGAGGCCTTTAGGACTGACTGTTAATATCACTTCCTTTATTTTAAGTTAAATAAATAAATGTTCATTTGCTAAGTGAATATTCTGCCTGATCAACAAAAGATGCAATATGGATAAGCAAAAGTAATTACCATAATACAAATGCTTGCAAAATGCCTTTGGAATGCCTAAACTTAAAAAGCACACTACCAAGGACTTGGAAAGAATCTTAGATTCCAAGGCCAAAGAATCTACTGCATATTAATCTTTTTTATCAAAAAAAGTTGATTAAAGCTCTAAAGACAAAAATAAATCTATTGTGCAACAACAAAGAAAAAAGAGAGAGGGAGAGAGAGAAATGAAAGAAATAGCTGAGAAGACTGCAAGGCATGGTGGAAACATGCTAAACTGGGGAAAGAGAAATTTGGTGGTCCTAGATTAGTGCTTTGAAATCTTTAGCCCGGCATTTCATTCCTATGAATATCATTTTCCTGTTTATAAAAGGAGGAGCTGAAGTATGTTTTTTTCCAGAGTTTTTCCATTACAAAAGAATTTCAGAGCAGTTTTATGACTTATCCAAGGTGGCAGAGTCCAAAGAAAGAATTTAAGAACTCTGTACAAACTTATAACTAGTTATGTCTCCCAAGGGTGCTTCATCTTTCAACGGAAAGCATGCCTGCAGATTCACCCAGCTGTTACCCTTGAAGAGGACAGTGTAACTGGCTCTATCTTCGTTGAAACACCAAGTATGAATGTTAGGAACCTCCTTGCATTATGGAGAAATGAATGATGTTCTCTTTCACTGCTTTATCTGTAACTAAACAACCCTATAAGCTTTGTCCTGATTATCTCTCCAGTGTTAACCTAATGCATGGGGGGAGAGGAGGTGCTCAAAGAGTAGACTGTATGCATTTGAGATGAGAAATCTCATGGGTATGAGGTGAATCTATGATTTCATAACACTGCCTTTAATTTTTCCTGACAAATGTTCTAAAAAATTCAGTTGGTTCCTGCAGTCACTACAGGAAAACAAGTGCATTCCTTTCCAAACATGTTTGGCAGTGTATGTGCTAAGAGCCTAAGAGTTCCAAGGAGTTTTTGGGGACTGATGTACTAGTGATCAAAGAGAAGGTGAGCCGGTTGCTCAACATCCCTCTGAAACTTCTTGATCTTAACTTCACCATGAGATTTATTCATTGCCATGTGATTTCTAGGAATTGAAATCATGGACAATAAAAATGCACTCTTTAAACGTATTCACAGAGCACTGCGATTCATTTAGCCTACTGTAAGTCTGTCTAACAAACTGCAGCGCAGACTGGTCTGTCACCAGGACTCTACGGTTTCATGACGCTCACTGTCACTCATATAACAGCATGTGTGTTCGATACAAACCTAAGTTTAAAGTTGAATGGTACAATTGTGTTTTTAGAAGAAAATTTAGAAGACACTGAAATTCTGTGAAGAATCTCAAAGTTACATGATCATAGATGAAGGTGGAGGATAAAACTGTTTAAAATGCATCCTCAGGCATCATTTGAGATGCCAATTTACTAGGACTTCAGAGCAATACAGATTTGGAAAGAAAAAGCTGCTCAAAGATGCACCACTACAAGTGAACACATAGAAATATGAAACTTCTGTATTCTGTTTTCTAGTGCTTTTTGAATGATCATGAAGCTTTCCTGCTCACTTGGACACTCTTTCTGCTCCTCTTCCTCCTCAAACATATCAATTTTTTCAAATGCAAGAGCAACTGTAGCCCTTCTTTTTGTCTCCCAGGCAAGATGCTATTAGGGGTCACTTGCCATGTACGGAGAAAACAATCTTCATGGATAATAATGATAAAACCTTATGGAATGCAAAAACAAGCAAAATATGTATTCTCAGATGACTGCGTTAGGGCCAAGTCAATATTAGTCCCACTTCACCCACGCACCACATAGTCTATAAATGTTGTCAGCCTGATAAGAATTTCCTGATTTACTCTTTTTTCCAACAGAAAATATAGGTCAGCAAAATAAACTACTGATCAAAAAAAAAAAAGTAGTCATACTCTCAAATCGGTTTTATTTTGCTAGCCAGTTTATAGCTAAATGGCTTATTTCAATGAGCTACTTGTGTAAAAACAACACAAGCATTTCCTAGCAAACCTCTCAATTAAATTCTTACGGTAGACTCAAACACCCATTTAAGCAATGGCTACGGAAGCTCAAAAATACAGAAGCTTCTCATTGTACAACTTCTCAATGTACACAATTTGTCTTTTTGTAAGAAAAGCTATGCTTCATTTTGCTGATGGTTTTAGCAAAAGGTTGGAGATTGGAGAACCAACACCCAGGGAGGTGTTAACATCCAAATGTTTGGAGACAATTCTTGTCAAACTCTAAATTTTATGATTGGGGATTTTTAATTGATTTTTCATGAGAGTAGATTTTGTTCTCTAGTTCAAGAAAACATTACACTACTAATTTCAATCAAAATAGTTGTCTTTTCATGGACCTCACACTTCTAAAAGAATGAAACCTTACCCTCATTTTCTATTAGTTAACAGTTTGCTGTTTTTTGTTTTTTAGCCCACAGAAAAACTGTCTCCCTAGGTATTTAGCAAAGTTGGAGCTTGTTGCTTGTCCACATTCCAGTTTGTAACTGAAGCCATCCCCAGTCTCAGGGATGGAGGAAAGGGCACTTCACTTCCTGCTGGACCCCTAGGGGCTGACCGCTTCACTTGCCTGACTGGATCCCACCTGTGCCCTCCATTCCTGTGTTTGCTGAGATATGAAGTCAAGGAAAAACAAGCAACATAGGCAAAACTTTCGACCATCGCTTGCAAAATGCTTTCTCATCCCTGCTTCCAAAGTAATTTTTTTTTTAATCTTAAAGATGCTGGGTACTAAAAAAAAAAAAAAAAAAAAAAAGAAAGAAAGAAAGAAAGAAAGAAAAAAAGAAATAATAACCAACAATATTCTCCTTCTTTTGCCCTAATTTTCCTGTGTCCGCTGGTGCTGTGTAACAGGTGATTCTGGACCATGTGCGATCCCAGAACCAGCTGCCTTTTACAGACCCTAAATGCTAACCAGAAACTTAGGGTTTCTTTCCAAAGAGTAACGCTACGTATCTGGTAAAGGACCAGAAGTAAAACGAGAGACCAGATCAATTACAGAATCAAACCCTAAGACTCGCAATAAATCATGAGTAACAAGAAAGAGGTTAATGCATGAATTAATTTGGAGTATGATAATTTTTTATCATCTGTATTATTTTTATCTAAGTTACGAAAACTTAAAAAAAAATAAAAATCAAGCAACCCTAACTCTCCCCCAAAATCTGGGAAGGATCCAACCTCGCTAAGACACAGATGTACAGATTTGAAAGTCTCAACACACTCAGTGCTGTGTTCAGACAATGTCCACAGGCATAGTCAGCCAAATCCCTTAGGGCTCCTTAAGGCTCCTCTCGCCCTTCTCACTTAACCAGACATTTTTGGTTTGGTTCTCAATTCGAGGGCCCCTTGCAGGGATGGGATTTTCAGTGGCTCTGATCAAGCTAGAGACCCAGGATCCAGAGATCCAGTGGGTATCTGTTGGCTGGGGACATGCTGTCAACAGACTGCACACGTACTTTAACAAGCCCTGGGTTTTTAAGGGTATTAGAAAATGATTGAAGAACCTTGAGTTGGTTCCCTGCTCCCCTGCTCTCTAAACCACAGAGTGAATGGCTATGGAGAAGTTCTGGTAACATTGAAAGACTCCAATCTAATGCTCCCACAAATGTCCAGGAAGGACCACCACCACCACCACTACCATCACCATCATCATCATCAATCATCATCATCATCAGACACTGTAACCTCTTCGTAAAGCAAATCCTAAACACTTTGCCTTCCGGAAGACACAAAACCATAGCTTAGAGAAGTTTACTCACATAGTCCTAAGAAAGATGCCCTCGGAGAACTTCAGAGAACTGCGTCCCAACAGCTAGTGTGGCTGTGGGTAGCAGCCTTTGAGCTCTGTCCCCACCGTTCAGGGCGGCCCGCAGCCAGGCAGGAAGAGGCTCACATGGACTCCTCTCCCGGCCACCTGGCCGTTTGTCCCTTCCCCAGGCCAGGTTTGCCTGCTCGCCGGCGCTCCGGCAAGTCCCAGCTCCAGAGCATCCGGTGCGCCACCCTTTCCCGGCGGGGCGGTCGCCCAGAGCTCCACACCGATACTCCGGGTGCCCCTCGCCCCCGCCCCCGGCAGGCTGCCCGGCCGCTGACTCACCTGCTGGCCAGGTTGGGTCGCCGGATGATAGTAGGCTGTGGGGCAGGTTGCAGCTGCCACGGGATTGGGCAGATACTGGGGCGCTCCATACGGCTGGGGGTGATACATCACCTCCGCACAACTCATGGCAGCCGGGGCAGCGGCGGCCCCCGAGCTGCCGCCGCCTCTCTACGCGCTGGCGCAAGGGGCGCCGCCGCTGCCGCCTCTGTCGCTGCTCCAGCTGCTACTGCGGCGAAGGCGGGTCCTCGGAGGCCTCCGGCTCTGCGCCGGCAGCGGGCTCGGGAGGAGTTGACAATCAGCGGGGGCCCAAGCGCGGGCACCTTCATCTTCAGCCCCTCCGGATGCTTTCTTGCCCGCGCCTAGCTAGCGGCCCCAGGACGCAGCCGGCCGCGGCACGGCGGGAGCATGGCAGTGCCTGGCTCGGGCAAGGGCAGGAGCGCCAGCCGCAGTCCCGGCCCGAGTCCCGCAGCCTAGGGGAGCCCGGAGGCTGGTTTGCATAAGGCTGGTCCTCTCACCAGCACTGCGGGCTGGGCGGGAGCTGGGAGGCGGGGATGGGGAGGGGGGACGCCTGGAAGGAGGAGGGACCGCTGGCTCCCCAGGCTCTGTGGAGGAGAATCACAAAGTTCCTCCAACTCCAACCGATGCGGGCGTGTCGCCCAGCAGGGAGACCGCGGGTAGGGCTGCCTGCGGATTGGAGCAAAGTTTGCTGCCCTCTCCGCCTCCAGGCCTGAGATGTTGGTGGGAGGGGAATGGTATGCAAGAGGCTGCACGCCCTCAGAGCTTGTGGAGTTCCCATCCAGTGTCTCACCTGGCAGCCAGGAGGATGGATCCCCAACTGTCAGCATCCTTTTGCAGGGAGCCCCAGTTCCGAAGCTAAGGCCGAAGGAAAGCCAAGTGTAGTGCTGCAAAGAGGTTAAACCGAGCAGGCACGGAATACGCCGGAATTAACTCCCGTGTTAAAAAAAAAAAAAAAATCAACGTGATTGCAAGTGTGCACACGCCGAGAATGCAGCACGGTTTTCTACAGGCAAACTCCCCTTTTCGCTTTTACCTCCTAGCACGGCAAAATGTGCATGTCCGCCTTTTCTGGCTCTTGTCTCATGTTTTCCACAAAGCAGAAGAAATACTTGATAAAATCCATTCAGTTATTGCATCAAGAAAGATTGATATATTTGCAAATGGCTAATAACTGCCTCCAAAATGAAGGGGGAAATATGTAGGAATGCAATTCCATTCCATAATAGTCGATAGAAAAGGAGTTTCTGTGTGAGTAGACTCTACCTCTGACGTTAACAAGCCAGTCTCCTCACTTGCAATGACACGAGGCCGTGTCTCCTTTTCAGAGAAAAAAATCATTCATTTGACAAATGTATTGATGTTACATGTACTGATGTCAAATAACCAGATTGTCCCCCGCCTCATAGAATGTCATATGATGAAATCCTAGAGCATAAATTACTCTATGTGGAAATGGGACAAATACGAGATAATTAAGATCAAATGTGACCATACATTTTGAGGACCTAATCCAATAAAACGTGTGTCTTTATAAGAAGAAAAACATCATAAACATATACTTATGCATACGGCACAGAGGCAAGACCATGGGCCTAGAACTTCTTGGATTTTTACCCTAACCAGACTTCAAGACAATGTACACTTCTAGCAGCCCGGCAGCGTGGCCTGGCGGCTAAAGTCCTCACCTTGCACGTGCCAGGATCTCATATGGGCGCCGGTTCTAATCCCGGCAGCCCGGCTTCCCTTCCAGCTCCCTGCCTGTGGCCCGGGAAAGCAGTGGAGGATGGCCCAATACTTTGGGTTCCTGCACCTGCGTGGGAGACCTGGAAGAGGTTCCTGGTTCCTGGCTTCGGATCGGCGCAGTACTGTCTGTTGCGGCTCACTGGGGAGTGAATCATCAGAGGGAAAATCTTCCTCTCTGTCTCTCTTCCTCTTTGTATATCTGACTTTGTAATAAAATAAATAAATCTTAAAAAAAAAAGACAATGGATGCTTCTGATATATTTCCAATCTCCTCACCACCTCAACTGGCTCTTCCCCTTCCTCCACATTCCAGGTGCAGTGCCATCCCCCAGGAGCACAGTTGGCAATGTACAGATTCTTTGTACTCCTTGCAGTTCCCACATCTGCTCCTGGAGTTCAATAGATCCTAAATTACATTTCTAATGATTCTATTGACTCTCCACTCATCTGTACTTCATGAATTATCTGTCACCCACACACCTGTGAAAAGACCCATTGACAGTTTTAAGCCCCCAGTTCAAACCTTTTTGCTGGCACATTCTTCATAATTCTACTCCCATTTATTAATGCCTCAACTATGGCAAATCCAACAGAATAATGATGTTCTTGTCTTTTAAGAAAATCACTGGAAATCCCCATAGTCCCAAACTTTAATTTTTACTGTCTACAATGACTGTGAATGATCTCTTATTAAAGGAAGGATTTATGTATTTTTATCATAAATATATATGTATGCATGTATGTATATATAGCGTGTGTTTTTTAAATTGCCATGCATTTTTAAAGATATAGAAAACATCTTTACCACCATTCACGTTGTCCTTCAAAGAATCATTAGCAAAGCTTGTGCTAAAGTTCACTGCAATGCCTTTGTTCTCAGCAGCTCCAGCACTCAATAAATGCTGCTGGTCTCACACTAACAACCTCCGTTTCAGGATTTCTATTATAAATTAAAAGGACAAGGTCCCAATTATGTCAGAAATTCTAGAATGTAGAGTGACTGAATTTGGTCACAAAGGTAATATGTGGGAACAGCCTTTCTTCCGAAATCACCTGTTGAAAACACTGAATACTTCCAATATATTCTCATATTGGCTTAAGGCCTCTTAGTCATTTTCTTTAGTTATTATACGTGTGTTTAATATCTGTCTCGTATAGCCCTGGTGCAAGTGCAATCTGTGTCTTCATCACTCTATATTTAACATTGGGGATATTTCAGTGTGTTTTTGAGTAAGAAAAAAACCAGGAGTAGACTCAACATGTCCATTTACCCACTTGCTGCACCTTCCATGTGTTTGCTATTGCTTCTACCTTACTGCAAGCCATATATTATATGGAAAAATTGTGGTTGTTGGATGCCAAAATGCATGCACATCAAAGTTTGCGGCTATTCAGCAAAATCTCTTTACATGACAATACCTTTCTAAAATACACTCCTTTATATCAACATTGTCTGTTAGAAGAAATGAGACAGCAAAGATAATTCTGCCAAGAATTATAATTTAAAAGACAGTGGCAGTAAATAGCACTTCACAGTCTGTAGCTCTAACTGACTTGCTGATAAAAAATAAGGATAATTGCTCTTAAGAAAAGCCAAGTTGGAGATCTGGTAGGAGAGCAAGCATACTTGTCTTCCTCCAGGTTCATGCTACATACTTGATTTTTAAAGATTTATTTATTTGTCTGTTTATTGGAAAAGCAAAACAAACGGAAGAGAGGAAGATAGAGATGGAAACAGAAAGAGAAAATGAGAACAATTTTCTCTTCTGAGAACTCACTCACCCTGTAAGTTTTATGTTAATCCTTCCAAAGGTGATGCTAGTATGATATAATTATCTTGCACCAGACCACTTCTTGAAAGATCTACCAGCTCCATGCCATCACACTAAAGATCAAGCTTCAAACATATGCAGCTTTTGAGAACATGGTCAATTGTAATCAAACCAAAATGGTCCTCCTTTGATCCTCTAGGAGTTAGAGAAAAGCACTATGCTTGGTGAGGGGTACTGGATTATTATAGTTAGTAATATTGAGTACTTCAGATCAGTGATTGGAATCTGCACAGTAAAGCACTCATTGCTGTTTGTATAATGTGAACTTCTCACAATTCCTTGAGATATTAGTGGAATGTAATTTTGGCTGTATGAACTTTTGGACTTAAATTCCTCAAATACATGATTTCATGTCTTCTCCTTTCTCATACTACCCATTTCTCTTCTTGTTTGGTCCCGATAGAACACAACCCTACTAATTTAGTGTTTATTCTCATCTTTTTTCTTATGTTATCCAGCATGATCCCAACAGAATAGAAGAACCACTTTCCATGTCCTTAGCTCTTCCTACTCAGAGCTTACAGTGATCGTATTTTTCAGTTATATCCACAAAATTTCTTAAAAGGTTTCAATATTTGCATGCTATGATGTACAGATATGCCCTCAGATCTGGTTTCCATTGGAGGATAACTTGAGATGGTTATAAAAACATCCATTGAGATAGGCTGTGGTAAAAGGAAGAGGATACCTTTTAGAGTTACAATAGTTTATTTTTCCTTTAATTTTGGATTCCAGTGTATAAAAACATTGGGGCTTGCCATACTTGCATGTAGATATGTCAACCTGTGTGGCTGAATCTTTTGTCCAACAAACACCACAGCAACAAACTGTCTGTCTGAAGAAGGCGTCTTACCTAGGCCAGGTCTATTGATTTTGGAGCTGGCTCTAGGAATCCAACTTCTGAGGAAAGGTACCTGCAACTTCTCTTCATGTAATTCCCAGGTCTTTAGTATACATATATGGATGCTCCAGGCAGAAAAATATCCAAAGATGTCCATGGTTATATCCCTGGAACCTATGGATAATAACAATGAATCATGTAGCCAAAGGGAGTTAAGATGATAGATGGAGTTAAGATTCCTAATAAGTGAGTTTTAAAGAATAAAGCAATCTTGCTTATGTGGGTGTGTCATGGGTGCATCTCTCTAATGAGGAACAGAGGAGCATTCATGAAAAGCAAGAAAATGGTCTCATGTGGCATTGCTGACTATGAAGAAGAACTGGAGTCATGAGCCAAGGAGCACAGACAGCCTCTAGATACTGAAAAAGAAAAAATGAATTCCACCTAAGCCTCCAAAAGGACCACAACCCTGTATCTAGCAGCAAGACCCACTTTGGACTTTACATCAAACTATAAGGTCACAAATGTATGCTATTTCAAGCTACTAAATTTGTGGTAATTGGATACAAAGGAAAACACATATGCTGGGATCTAGTGAAGTAAGGTTGTTTGATGTTATGGTTTTGAGTGTGCAATTCCTTTTACCTTACAGTTTCCTATGGGAAGAGGCACAATTGTATCCAATGAAGAGAGACCAGAGAGAGCAGCTGTGGATCCAAGTAAAAACTAGAGGCCAAATGCACAGCTAAGATAGGAAGACCACTCTTTTTCCCATATTTTCCTCAGGATCATCTATCTTAAATGGGCCCTTTTTAGTACCTAGTAACTTTACTATGTCCTAAAACATGCTAGATTTATTATGTTCTGTAATGTGTTTGACCATGTCCTCCCCAGTATTGCTTATCTTCTCCATCATATTCAGATCCCTTAAATTCACTTCTCTCCATTTTCTTCTCACCCATTTATTATATTCTACCCCGATTACACTGTCAAAACACATTACAAACACTACCAATGGAATTATGGAAATGCTGACAAATTCAAAGTTCATTAGTCTCATCTTAATTTATTCATAAATTTTTGCATTTTGAATAAATATACTTTTAAAATTTCTC